AGTTAGTCGAGAGAGGAGACTTTCATGTTTCTGAGCTTTATTAGTGCCGAAACGGCCTATCGCAAAAGACAATCTATTGGTCTCGGTGTTGCCGGCGTGCTGAAAATGACTCCTCCGTCTCGGACTTGTTTATATGAATCGAAGGGAGGAGGCGGTGGGGGCTGATCCTCCACTCCACACTTAACTCCCTGCTCTCTCAGGTGATGGAAAGGTTATATTTGCAGCTTCTTTAGAAAAAGAAAACAAACGGCGAAGGACTGGAAAAGGAAAATAATGAATTAAACCTCTGGCATTATAATTCTTGAGAGCGAAGACTCAGAAACCCCCCACCCCAGCTCCTATTTAATCGGATGTAATCTACCTGCTTGGCAGCATTCCAATCAGATAGTTTCAATTATGCTCTTGTAATGCCACTCTGCGAGGAGGGGGAAAGTGCTGAGCAGAGCACTTTGCAGGCGATTTGCAAATAACAGCAAGGGAGTCTTTTAGAGAAATGACTGAACAGGAAGCCGGAGAGTTGCCGGAGTTGACAGCTCTCTCACTCTTAGGTTTGCTGGCTTTGGCGGTGACGGCATGTTTTGCATCCCGCCGCCTCCTGCCCGTGACAGCAGCTGTCGGGACAGTAAAGCGCCGCTGAAGGTGGCCTCCTATGGTAATACGGAAGTAATTATTTTCCACCGCTACACCAGCGTCTCACAACCAGGCAGGTCGGAGCCTCGGGAGCAACGTGCAGAGGCAGCCGTCGCGGATCGCGGTGACACTCGGGAGTTACCGAGCTAGCAGGACGCGGTCCGAGGCGCTCGGGAGTCGGCGTTCAGCATTTGTGTTCTCCATATGTGTACTTGCCCCCTGTGTTGGGGTGTCGGCGTGCCGTTGGCCTGTCAGAGCGTCGCGCCAAAGTTAATCTGGATGTCTGCAAACACGCGACTGCGCCTGCCGTGATAAAAAGCCGGGCGGAGGAGCTGGAGGACAGCGGCGCTCAGTAGTCTGGCAACATACGCTAAAGGTCGATAGTGTCATGTGTGACCGATGAAACAGATTGACCCGCGGGGCTGTGGTACCTTGTCACCCTCCACGGTCCCGGCATCTGTCTGCAATGTGTCACCCCCGGGGCCCAACATGGCTACTCAGGCTATTAACCTCCAGCGCGCGAGGACACGGCAGAGTTAAGACCCGTCCACCCGTCTCTCTCTGTCACAAATCCACTCCTCAGTAGCCGGCCGGCCGACCGAGTGCACTTCCTTCTCTCGCGTCCTCTATCGCTTGTTAACCTCTGGTCTGAACAGCGTCCAGAGCAGGCTGGACTTCGGAAGCCGCCGTCACGAGTGCGCCCTACCTGTACGGCTGCAGGGGAAGACAAAGCGGGACCTTGAATCAAACAACTGTCACTGCTAACAATGTATGTCACCGTCTCGGAATGGGCCATAAAAACCAAATAAATGACGGCCATTACAGTGGAGATTGTGATTATGATAATGAGAATAATAAAGGCGATCATCATTACGATCATGATGATAATGATAATACTGTGATGATGAATTATAATGAATAAATCCCTACCCCATTTCCTAAATGGTGGGAAATGCATCACTACGAGAGGCCTGCAGCCATCTGACAGGCTCGGAGCGGCGCGAGGGTTATCGGCGTGTGCGTGCGTGTCATTCGAACCGCTTGTACTCCGGCTACAGCCTACTCTCTTTTCACGCCTGTATCAGTACAAGATTGCATCCGTGTATGTGACTTCCCAGTCAGAGTATAGTGTGTGTGTGTCATGCTCAGAGAGCACTTCCCAGGAGACCTGGCAGTTTACATATCACATTCAAACAGCTTTTGTTCTCAATATCTGCCACTTCCACTCTCTCGTTGCTCGTTCTCCCCTCTCCTCTCTCGCCGTTTCTTTATTTAGTATCTTACCAGAGGCTCTGGCTCTAAATCAGCCTTCATTTTATTGTTTTTTTTTTAATATGCTTGCTTTTGAGAAATGGACACTGTCTCTAACACATAAAAAAAATCACAGCATTTATCTTTTCTTGATGAGTGACCTCTTGTGGTCATGAGAGCAATTACTTTTCCTCTCTCAGAGACAAATAGGAATTGTGCAGAGCTGCTTCGCACTAAAACTTTATTTGAAATTGTAGTGAATGGTTTGTAGTTCACTTCTTGTCGCTCACTAACAGTCGGCACTTTCCAGAGTTGAAGTATAGAAATGCCAACACCTATGAAGCTGTGTGTGTGTGTGTGTGACCCTTTATTACCAGCGTGTTTCATATGACGTCAGTGCATGCAGACCCCCCCTCATGTGTATCTCACCTGTTTGCCATGCAGATCACCAGAAGAACGAGATCATTCGTGTTTATTTTGCTTAATAAGAAGTTTTTTAATATATACTTTATTTATTTTTTGTGCATAACAGCTCATGTTTGTGCTTTCTGGTGCAAATTAATAAACACAACTTTGTTCATGTGCCCAGTTAGTGTGAGGTGATAGAGTTTAGTGTAGGTTTCCTGGTGCAGTGATATCGTACCACTGTCACAACCCCTGGCACTTCTATTTTTTATGCTAAGCTAACCTGGATTCTGTTTAACGGCCAGCAGGAAGCGACTCACCTTTCGACAAAAAGATGTCAGACTTTACAGAATCGATGAGAAAATGCTGATTTGACTTGTGATTTATTATCTGCATAATTAACCCCTATTTTTTTAATGTCATTTCACAGCCTGATCATTTTGTAAATGATGGCTCCATTTAGAGTAAAACAGAACATAAAGCAGAGTAGGCTTTAAAAGCAGGACTGGGCTGTTTATTTTCCCAAGAGGCCGCATGAGAAACTGGGACTCTCGTGGAGGGCCACACCAATAAGCTGAACTCAGTTCTGCTCACTATTAATTTTCCCTCTTTGCAAAGTCATCGGTGCGACGCTCCACAAGAGTCCCAGTTTCTCTTGTGGCCTCTTGGGAAAATACATTTCCCAACCCTGCTTTCAAGCACGACGTTAAACACATCGGTTGGTTTGTGTTTCAGCTACATGCTAAACAAGCAGTTAGAGAAACATCAAGATGTTACCTTTAAATCAGGCCTTACAGTTCTTCTATAATGGGCTGTTTTTATTTAATATGCCAAGTCACTGAATATTGCACAGAAAGAGAATCCATCCTTAACCCTAAACAGGCTGCACGCATCCCAGTGGATGTCAACATTTCTAAATCTCAAACCAAATGTTTTAACCCTTTAAAGCCGGTCGGAGCGGCGCGCTCTGTTTTGCGTAACTA